GTTCAGATACTGCAGCACCTCTGGAGTCGGTTTCGGCAGCGGACTCTTGGCAGCCTTCGCAATCTCCTCCAAGCTCTTTTTGGCGGCTTTCTTCACATCACCATCGCCGTCAGCCAAAGAAATCATGCGAATCTTTGGGACCAAGCCGAGCGAGTTCTCACCAAGATCACCGCACACTGTGGCAGCCAACCAACAACAGTCACTGGCGGGTGGTGCCGCATCATCCACACTGTGACCCAACGCAAGGAGAGTGCTCACATGCAAAACATCGTTGGAGAAGGCTGCTTTGTCCATCTCGGTTCCATGGCACTCACAGAAAGCCTGGCAGGCAAAAGTCAGGATTGCTCCTGCAAGACGGGTCATTTTCCGCTGCATGGCGTTGCATGCTGTGCTGACTTGGGCAAGGTACCGCAGCTGACAGCCCGCAAGACGCATGCAACAAGACAATGCGGCGCACGTAGATTGCGACTTTTAGCTGCACGCCACATGTGAGCATTGTTGTTTAAGTTAAGTTAAACTTCTTGTACTAAAACAGAATGCCTGAACTAGGCGGATTGCTGTTTTCTCTGCAGCACAGAACAAACTACTCCAACCTACTCTCGCCATCATGCTGCCATTCGGACTACAGGCATTTCTGGGCTATGGACAATTCTATGCAGCAAGAACCTCTTCTTGCCTACTATAAACATACAAACTGCGCAGACTGCGCGGAAGACTACCTATACGTGCCTCCACGAAGCTACGCCACAACTACGCCCTGCATCACGTCTATCATAGCCCTTACGTATCTCAAAATCCTCACGCACAAATTGTTGTACATACCTGAAAGTCACGCACAAATTGCTATTGCTCCACAAGAACCCAAACCAGTCTACAACTTCTTAAGTATCACGAACCTCTGTGGTGCTAGGGTTTTGTGCTGTGTACTGAACAGTGCCGATTTCGGCTTGGTCTAAGGTTGGAAGTATTGGCCACTAATATGGGCCCTTAGCCTGCTTTGGTGGGTTCCAGGGTTATCGAAAGGTATGTACGGAGTGTATGCTAAGCCTAGGATCAAGGGCCCATAGTCGGATTCGGGGCATATGAACCTTGAAATTCTGGTCTTGCATGCCCAGTGTCTTTGGCGTTTTTCGGGGTGGCTTCAGGCATGTCTGTGCAGCCACAAGCTCAGTGCACAAGACACCACAGTTGCATCAAACCAGGGCACGCCAATTTCCACGGGCAACAGAGCTGCTCACGGTCTCGATTGTGGAGCGGGCAGCTTTGGGGCGGGCCTACGTCTGAGATTTGCTTAAAGGTGCCTCAATTCAGCCGATGGGTACTCCACTCCACACTAGCATCAACTAGCACGTGTCGTTCCCAATGCAGGTGCCAGCATCTTCCCGATCAGACAATCAGCACCCAAAAAGCACTTCTACATATCTGGAAACCCTGAGCTTGCCTCAGCAAGATGCTGGCACCGTTTGAACCACCAACCCAGCAAATCCTGCACAGCTGGCCAAGAAGACCCCTCGGTGGCCAAATCAAGCACATCATCTGTGATCCCGCAAGGTGCATCTCATCGAAATGAAGGACTTGTTAGAGACTAATCGTCTCTTGTTAGAGTTAGGCTGTTGCTGCTGCCATAAGCCAAATTCGCATTTACACCACTTGTATCCTTGCATCCTTTCAGGTCACATGCAGAGTGGCTCAGCTCACCCAGCCATGCACCGCGGTACGGTGCAGCGGCAAAACCTGGCAGTACCGTTTCAGCTGCCTAGAAATCGCTTCAAGCTTGCAACCAGACTCCTTAAAAACAAACAAAAAACGTCCCGCGTGGGGCCGGGGCCCAGCTCCGCGGGGTATGCGGTCGCTCCTTGCTTAAAGCTGCAGAGTGTCTGCTCATTTGGCGCACAACAGGATCTCGAGGTAGCCCTTGCGCACGTCACACTCCACAAGCCCCCGTCCTGTCTGGTGGGCGGTTGAAGTCAGGCGAGGAAGGGCCGCCAGTCCTTCGGGTTGCCGCATGGTTCCGAGCAGTTGGCGACAGCCGTGATGCAATCCCTGTCTAAAGCTAGCCCTCTTAAGATGTTGCGGCATGCTTGCCTACAAGCTCTATTTTGGCCAGCTGCTAATAGCTTTTGCTGGCAGGAATTCTATGCACACCTCGCACGCCTCTTAGTTGCTGGGCCCATCAACCGATCCCTCCATGCGTCTCTGCAGCTTTTGATGGGGGAGCCGTACCTTGATTCGGAGATGTCGCATATTCCTTCCTCAACCTCGCAGGCTTGTCCAAAAAAAACGGGCTCAGGTTGTAGCACAGACTGCAGTAACTCCATCAGCTAGCACTTGCAGTATCTAAAAAGAATGGGGCAGTGGCCTTGTTGAGGATGCGCTGCGCCAGTGTGTGAAAAACGTCCTGCGCTCGCAATGTGGGCACCATCTGACATGTCCGAGGGCAGTGTGCCTTGCACGAGGGCAGTTTTGGAATTCAACTTTGCTTCCAGGGTTTTAAGCACCGCCAACTTGCCGCACTCATTTGTAGAGGTGCTCAAGCAACGATTTGTTAGCATCGTTTGATGACATAATTTTGGGAAGACCCTGGATCCGTGCTTCATGATGAGGAGCTGACAGACAGAGGCATGACTGGAAGATGTAAATTGAGAAGGGCATCCGATATGATTGCAACAAGATCCGGTTCAGCTCCAGGGAATGCCTGCACGTTCTCCCCGGTAAGAGCACTGGTCTCCAGGAATAGTATGTCCTGTAGTCCAGTGGTATCGTAAAATGTGTCTAGGCAGACATTGGCAACGCAGACACAGTGTGACCTGCCTTTTCCTGCGCAAAGCGGCTGGCTTCCAGAAAGGAGACCTGCCCGGCGAAAACGAAATAAACGCTACAAACATGCGCTGTAGCTCCAGACAATGTCACACTGTGATGGTACCGGCATGCCTGGCGTTCATCCTTGAGGTCTCGCTTGTTTCCCACCTGGATGGAACTCAAGAACTCAAGGAGCAATAAATAGATCCAACAACAGAACTGAACACCTACCATCACCCACCTTTCCCAATTCCAAGAGGCATTTGGATACAATCAACGGCCGAAGCTCACAAAAACTTGTTCCGGTTTCCAAGCGGCTGCTATGATGGAGATGTCCTTCCACGCCTGCTCGCGTGCGTCCTGTAGCACCGCAACGCCGCAACATCCGGGGCCCTGCATCCCTGCGTGGGTTTCGGGGAAGTGGTAAAGAGGCATTTTACAACGTCAGGATGTTCTGCACCTGGCCGCTTGTACTTGGCCCTTGGGAGATGGAGTAGAGTATGTAACACGCATTAAAGCCTTAGCCGACATGGTCTGTTACCTTCCAGGACCTCCGGTCCTGCAGCCAGGTGGGCAGGTTATTGTACGAGTCCCTGGAGGTGACATCCTTAGAAAGAAAAGACGAGTTCACCACTAGCCGCTACGTGTTGCCAGTGTTGTCACCTGAGCGTTGGCTGCTCAGGCCGGCGCGTACAGAATCAGAGCCCCCACCGCTCCACGGTAGTACCTAGTATACGAGATGGAAGCAAGCAGCCAATGTCTGAGTGGTGAATTTCTAGCAGATCAAAGCCAAGTGACTGGGCCTGACACTGTGGTGGAATGAAAGAATCTAGCTACAATACCAAGCAGGTGCAATCAAGCAATCGGCACTGTCATGTTAGCACTATTGGTTGCTAAGCTCCCTCTTCACAACACAAGCCTGGGCGGCTGGGCCTTGAAACTTGAAACTCAATTGTGCTTCACACCGTCCTGCGCATCGAAATCTGCAACAGCTCTGTGAGCAGTACCGATAAGCAGTTAGACTGCTGCTGCACGAGGACCCATTGCTGGAGAACATCTGCAGGCGCACGATCGGGTGACGGCTCGATATCTCTCCTGGTTGACTAGGAAGAAGTCATGTGCTTCGTGTTCTTTCCCACACACATCTGTCATTCTGGGGGGGCTCTTCTTACCAGCGTATGACATGCTAAACAAATATTCCGCACTCAGGCCGAGGCCTGCCCGGCAGTGTCCCAAATCCTGACAGCGTTGAGTGGCTGGACATGGTTGCTGGCCTGAATCACCTGATTTATTAGGTTGTCAAACTTGTCTTCCGATAGAGAATCATCAAATGCGCGAAGGTTCACATGCGCGCTACGCCCGTCTCGTCAACCAAAACTCGCACTCAAAACTAACTCCTTCTGCTTCAGATCACGTTGCCCAAGCTAGCAGAACTGGGGCGGCGGCTGAAGCTTGATCTGCCGATTTCCAAGGGAAATTATCTTTGTGCCAAACTCCACACCAATCTGCACACATGGCGGAGCCAAGAATGTCAGATGTTGGACACTGCCATGCATGGCACGTTTGTTTGCAGCTTCACGGCAAGCAAAGCAGTTTTTCACCAAGGTTGCGGCTGTGTGTGTCGACTGCTTCCGGAACTTTCCCTCGAGGAACTGGTGCATGAAGCTGCTCTTGCCTGGTCACCCTTCAGATGCAGCAACAACAATGCCTACGCCATCCTACGCCTCAAACAGATTTCACCAGGTCTGGGGCCTGCTCCAGCATCACCGATGATGATCAGCTTGAAGCCATAGTCGCACTCCGGGCCTTCATGGGAAACATGTGAAGACTTTCCTGCAGAGCTCTTACCCGAATTGGCTTGCTCAGTCGCGTGTGCCTTGTCGCCGATAAGCTCTGCTTTCGTCATACGGTTTGATCTTCCGATTTTGATAATGCGGTGAGGAAAAACAGGCCTCTCCCGGATCACAAGTTCATAATATTTTATACTAATCTCTATGAAGCTTGTGCCCAAAATACACCCACAACCTTTGCTTTTGCCAATGGTTGCCTTGGCCTTTGTCTTTCTTGTCGTTGTAGACCTGTCCCAAAACCAATCAGGTGAGGGCAAGGCTCGCGCAACATGAGGCAAAGCGTTTTACGCTGCAGGTGCTTCACAGCAGATGGATAGGATGAATGTATTAAAATTTTCTACTAGGCAACGAAGCATAAGTGGCTTCAGTCCGTGGTGTGCGGCCCCTGGCCATCTTGCAACTTGCCCATTTTTAGAGCTTGCAGGAGGCATCCGTAATATCGCAGGATACTCAATGTCGACCGTGAGTCCAGCAGGTTAAGTACCGATTCCATCACCTGGCCCATCCGCAACTCCTAGGAATAGACAGGCAGTGTCCGGCCTGCACCAAGTCGCGGAGCTCCATCGGCGAGCGATGCATGTTGCCTGGCGGCTTTGCCATGGACTACCTGTCCCAAACCTGACACAACTTCATCCAGCGCGCAACACTTTGCATCCAGTGGCCAGGCCTGTCTCTCCAAGAAGCACCGCTCATGGCATGTCTACGTATTGTCTATTGGATGGGACCGGACGTGGAGGCTGGGTGGGTTGGTAGCTGTGGGCTTGAGTTGTCACCCGATCTCCATCAATCTCTATCATCTAGGGATACCACTTACCATGGATCCATGTTCCAAGCTCTTAAACCTTTGCGGGACTTGGAGGCGTTTGCACGGTAGCCAGGGTTCTTGGATCATGGTTCCCCTTGCTGCACCTTCGAACCAAGGGCCAGACGGGCCAGGAGCAGAAACAGCTTGAAAAAGCTTCCAGTTGTGGTTGCACGGCTCAAAAACCGATCTTGCTTTAGGCTTTGCCTTTAGGATATGCTCTGCTGCAACCACTTCGCCCGGCTTAAAGGCAATCTGGTGTTCACCCAGTGCTCTCTAACGGCACATTCACAGCACATTCACAGCATCGAAGCATGTTTTGAAGGATTTCGAAGCCGTGGTTGTCTAGCCAGCCAGCTCCGAATGCAAGACTTCCATCAGGGATCTTCTCTGCCAGCAATTTGCTCCCTGCTGTGTGGTATTGATTCCTGCCACTTCTCCCTGATGGATCTAGCTATGATACGACGGTCACTTTGGAACCATGGGCTCCCGCATCACTGAGCCTTGCTAAGACACCTATTGCACAGTGCCATACTGGCACCTTTGCGTGTTGAGTTGCTTTAGCGGTGTACGTTATCGTTTCCACGACCAGCTCGATTCATATCGACAACTACGTTTTTTTCGTAACGTCAATAGAAATAAGCTTCAGCATCTTCATGGAGCAGCCAGAACTGGTCATGTTCTCAAACATGTTCTCAAAACGGTGGCCATCGGGGGCCTGCTTGCCCATGAGTACTAGCGGTGATTAGGTTACTGATGAATCACGAGTGGTGACTGCGCACCGCTACGACATTGAACTGGTTGCGCAGCGAAGCAATGCTGTGAACTCGTACCTTCCCGCGTTGGTCAGCACGTCAGATGCTCCAGCACCGGCTTAGAAGTAGACCTAAGCAACATCTGTGCCGTCATTTTCTCACATCATTTCAGTTGTCAAGCAACTTCCACGTGTGGCTGGCTGAGCACCCATGTCACGAGGCGCTACAGCATTTGGTGGAACCTCCATGTCTCAGTTCAGGCGCCAGGAAGGAAGGCCCCTCAGGGCAGCGCCACCAGGCAGGTCACATTATCGGAGGTACCGCGCGCCTCAACACGAGTCCACACACACTAGCCCTCGCGGATTCCCGGTCTTTAGAGCTTGCTCCACGTGCCTGGAGCAGCACTGTATGCTGTGGCATGAAATGCCGAACATCTTCCCTAGTTCCTCTTCTCTGCGCACACCACCCTCAGCTCCCTACCAAAGCCTCTTCGATGAGGAGACGCGCCTTGGTGACAACAAGGACAGTTATCTGACTTATCTCCGTCGTGGCTGACAGCCATCAGCAATCTGTTCAGACTGTCGTGGCATTCTGTGTCTGAGTCGCGGGGCCGCCATTTGTCCCAACATGATCTGGCCTCATGCTTTGCATGGCATGGCATTCTCAGACTTCCGTCAGGTCCTCTGCAACTGCAACGCAGATCATCAGGTGCCTCTACCGAATTCACAATGAGACGACCTCCTAATGCCAAGACTTGGTAACATGGGCCGAGCAACTACCTCGTGAAGCATGAACCTGACTCTCACGCCTCAAGTCAAGATCGCGCGAGACATCTAAGCAGGAGGCCAGCTTGAGCATCTTCTGCGAGGATGCTGGTGAATTCTCCTGGCAAAGCAGAACATCTTTCGAAAAACCTTCACAGAGGAACAGCCCATGAGCGCATGTCAAAACAGGCCGCTGCGACGCATGCCCTCCATTACCAGATTGCAGGCATCCTGGTCCTCGATGACATCCCAGAGCCTGCAGCGAAAAAAGGATGTGGTTGTATCGCATGCATCCATCCCTGAGATCAAAGCTTCAACATTGTCAAGGTGTGAGCTTGCAATTTGGTCTGAATGCTGCGCCTAAAAGCTGCATCCCCCTACACTCCAGGCTGTATGTTTGAGCATGGGGGATGGACTTCAAGCTACAATCTGTGTACTAAGAACCGGGCCCATCGCATGCGGTGATCAGGAATATGTCCTGAGAAGGTTAGAACCCTTTACGCGCAACCGGTTCCGCGCACGGGCTAAGGCGCTTTCTCTGGAGCAGTGTTGATGGCGTCAGATTCACTCAATTTCTGAGGCGAGCTTCACGAGCATCATTCTGCTGACCATGCAGAGTGCTTCTTGCTTAGCCCAGCAACAGATGGCTAGGAGAAAGTCTGGGCCCAGGGACATTCGAGGAGACAAGTGTGCCGGAGACCTCAGGGACCTCGCGCAAGCGGTAAACCAACGCTCAAAGCTGTCAAATCTGGGAGTGCGCATGAACTGCAGGGAGACTGGAGAGGCAAAGCCACACCCCATGAAGCAAATATTTTTCCAGGCTCAGAGTCTGAGCACCGCGGCATTGGAGACGATGTCGTTCGCAAAGGCTGGGGCCTTCGCTGCAGAGTGCAAAGCAAGCCACACGTGTGCAGCGTTCATGGTCCCTTTCTCTGAGGCCTTCAGCTGGAAGTCGCCAAAGGCCCTGCAAAACTACTTGGGCAGTCGATAGAGACTTCACGAGGACTAGCCAACATTTAGATGCATTTGAAGTTTGGTGTAGCACACAAGCTTGCATGACAGATGTAAAATTCATAAATGCTCATGATATTCATGTCTGTATGTGTGTTAGAGAGAAGCGGCCTTGAGATCGCAAGCATGCCATTCACTCGCTCATTGTAGATGGTGCCGCCAGCCTAGGCACACTGATTTCAGAGCTTAGGTCCCAAGACACATCTGCAGAGCAGGAAATGGCAGGCAAAGGCTGAAGTCTCTCTGGAACGCCCGTCTGTGGGAGCACACCGTGCACTCATATGGCCGTTCAAAGATCCCTGTACAAGATACACGAACAAAGCCAGAAATCCTATGTGTCAAACTGTGAAAATCTCGCCTGCTGAAACGTGATGAGAGCGAACTCGAAAGGCCAAACTTCACACAGACAATAAGACTTGAAAAAAAACAGGCCTCTTTATCGGTGCAAAGATACAGCTTATCTGTGTGCTTCGGAGGTTCAACCATGGGAAACGTGTGCCGATTGCTTGCCAGCCCCGTGGATTAAAAATAGCTGCCAGATATTGCCAGCCTCCACGACACGGCGTGCCTCATCAGAGAAGGTGGCCTGCGGGCAATTGAAACTCATTGGATGTGGGGCCCCAGTCCTTTTGAAGCTGGAAGCATCCTGCGCAACATTCAGCGCTAGATCTACGAGCTTGCTACGAAAGCTCTCTATGATGGACGGGCATACAATTGAGCTGTCTTCCACAGCCACATTTACTGCAATGCAAGCGGCCACGGTCGAAACTGAAACTACTACCCGACTGTGCAAAGTGTCGCTAAGCGCCTTGTGGTCACTAGCACCGGTAAGGCGCACGCCTAAGCCACTTCTGCCTAGGCGGTTGTAGTGGTTTTGGGAGTATGGAATCTGTCTGCACAGCAGCAAACGGTAGCAGGCGTGCACTTCTTGAACTCTTGTCTGAGGTCAACCATAAGTCAACGAACCGTGAGTTGAGCGTGGCACAGATCACTGCTCGGGCATCCCCTGGCACTGAGCGTTTCAATGTTGTCATGCGTGCACATGATCTTGATGCAGCACAGCAAAGGCCAGCTGCCCTACCTGCGGTTGCACCATATCCGTCAGCGCTAGTCAAAAGCCTGGCCTATGTGGGCTGTGTAGAGCACACGGTCTGTAAAACCCTTCTCCTGCCACTGCTTACCGGAGATCTTAAGTTTGAGGGCTTCGAGGTTCGGGCTTGGATTGGCCTCGCGTGGTAAGACTTCGCACTTTCCATTGTAAGCAACTCTGAGCTGTTGGCCTCCTTCTTCATATATGTGGGAGTTATCCAGAGTTGCTTCATGACAGCATGACCTCCTCGCGGAAATCCAAAACTCCTTTCGCGAACACCATCGCGAACTTTCGCGGAAACAGGTTTGAAGCAGCAACCAAACCTTGAACTCTTGAAAGATGCCTTGACGCATGCCCTCATCTCCAAAACCGAACCTGCAAGACCACAAAGCATACTGGGAAGGTGAACTTGGGTTATGAATTACCCGAACCCTTAACTCCAAAAGCGAAAATGAACGACCAAAAAGAAGATTGGGAAGGTCAAATGGAACTAGCAGGCGACCGGTGCCTTATATGGACAGCTGGATGAGCCTGGCAGTATGGAAAAGCTGCACAAGCATAGGAGGTTTACCCGAAGAACTTGCGGGATTACAAAAAAAGCGCCAAAACGTTACGCGACCTTTCGCAGACCGTTCGCGGATCCTTGGAGGATTTTCGGGTAAGAATTCAGAGACTGAGCGTGCGCTACAGAAAGAATTGCAAATTCACCTTGGAGCATGCCTGTTCACTGCAAGGCTGTGCCAAGAGTGCACAGACATGGATTGCCCTGGGGCCAGGGAATACCTGCACTGCAGTGTAAAGCCTCGCGCAGATCGGCTGGGTGATATTGGGAACCTTCCTGCGATCGGACTGCAAGAAGAAAACTGCATTTAACCGTCTTAGGGAACTATAACTATGGCAACTATGGCATACGATACTTCGTTTGCTAAAAACGAAGTCCCTTTAACGAACACCATCGCGACATATCGCGACATTCCGCGGAAGGTCTTGAAAGCCAGCCTTGGTCGTTTAAAAAAAGAAAACTGCCACAAGAGGTTTTCGGACAATGCCCATTTGTTCATGGAAGCGCTTGATCTTGGATTCACAACGAATGCTCAGGTCCTGTCGCAGAAGGCAGCAGCATGCTGTGCAGCCAGAGCTAGAGAGGCCTCAAAGAGTGGCACATGGGCTGGACTGAAGCTGCAGGGCTCCCGCGCGGTTTCGCAAACATTTGCTTGCATCTTGGAATTGCATCCCTGGACTCTGGACCTGCTGTCTGCATGTCGGAATCCGTGACTTCAAAGGCGCGCATCATGCAGTCTGGCACATTCGCCTCGTCCTGTGCATGGAGCAAACGGTACACGGTGCACAGAGCACGACATCCAACCGTCACAATACAGCCCTGCAGCTCACATCTGCCTTGGAAACGCTGCAAGACTTGACGAATTCCAACGCCCAAGCTTCGAGCGCTCTAGAAGCCCTGAACCGGTGCCTGCTCTAACTCGGCCAACAAATTCCTGCAGGACATGATCATGAACAAAGTGTGCACTCCCAGCGGGGTGCTGAGTGCTGTCGCGAAGTTGCTATGCGTATCTCTGTCACAAAACAGGCTCGGCGCACACGTGCAAGTGTTCCAAGACATACTCCACGCAACTGCGCCCACCATGACCTGGCAAGAGTGGCACACCATGGCACCCTGGCACACCAGCATCCGGACACATTCCGCACGTCAAGTCCAGGCCCAGATTTTTGACGCATCACGTCGTGCTTAATACTGACAGTTGACATCTCAAGTCCCCATCCTCGCTCTCGCTCTTCGACTCTCCAAAGGCTGGTGTAGCTGCAATGTGCACGTCCTCTTGTGGAAGGCTGAGCGACCCGCCATCATAAACGCCCCAGAAACAGCTGCTCGGGCTCCCATCTTGGAACAAGCGGGACTGCCGCTTCACAGTTGTTACTACAACTTGGCGTCTCATCTCATGCAGAGGTGCGGGCAACCTTCGGTCCGGAAGCACTCAACTAAGCCAGACGCTGTATTGATCCACAAAGATCCAGCCATCCTCCATTTCATCCCGCCTTGCACAGGGCGTCATGTTGGCAACATCAAATTAGCCTAGACTGAAGTTTTGACACTCAGGGCCGCACCGCCCCATCTCTTCCTCCCATCCCACACTCTTCACAGCCGAAGGCGATAGCACCTGAGCCAGACGCACGATGGGCAACACATCTTGTGGTCGCGCTGCTTGGGGCCCCACGTAGCCCATGGCAACTGCTTGCACAGCTCAGCACAGCTCACACCAGCAGCATATTTGAGGCAGGTAGCTAGTAGCAGCTGATTCACAGGATGCTAGGCATGAAAGCTGCCAGTGTCTGCTGCTTCTCCGTTGCTTTGCCGATAGATGCAGGTTCCACACATGTGCCGTATACTTGTCGCACCGCTGGGGCTTCTTGCACTTTGTAATGCTGATTCAGGACCATCTAGGCTTTGTACAGGCGGGACTTAGCAAGTAGAGTTGTGGCTGGAACAATTCAAAGCTGTTGTTGTCTTTCGCACCCCTGTTTTGCACCAGGTCATTTGACGGAAGCAGCGTCTCAGTACTAGCATTGTCGCTGCCTTTGCTGCACGGCGTGCTGGGCAAAGCCTTCGGACCATCTGCAAAGCCGAGCTTCCAAAGAGGAGCGCTACAGCAGCGCCTACGGCATCGTGCCTCGTCTGCCAGTGCAGGTGCCGATACAGCATCGCAAGCTCTCTGAGAGAGCTCTTCAAAAAGCTCCTGGGAGGCTCTCCTTGGCGCTTCACTTGTCCAGATGCCCGAGACTGGGAGAGATTACGAAATGCCTTGTGCTGGACAGGTCTCAAAAGGTGATCATACCGCCGGCATCGGTGGTGCCTCTCATCTTGAATGGCACCACGGAGCCCAGCGACCTTTTGGCAGGCTTGAGCTTAATTCATAAGGAAAAAAGCTTGGCGGTGGTTAAGCGAAAGAAAACGGAAGTGAAGAAGTTACAGTTGAGAGGATGTAGTTCTGCTCAAAAGCATGGACTTTGTACCCAAGCTTCCATGCCTTACTAAGCGCTGTGCAAACAGAGCCCTCAACGCATGGTTTGAGCGGTAAGAACTCAAGGAATGCCGAGCACAAGTGTTCGTGCACTGCCACTGGCTTCTACTTGCTGCAGACAACCCAGACGTCACGGTAATTCTCGGTCTAGAATGCATGGCTGACGGTTCAGTAAGGATAGCTGCATTTGGCGAATCGTTTAACAAGATGCATGCCTGCATGAAACAAGAATGCCATAGAATCGTGACAATGATCTGAAAATACAAGGCCATAATTTTGAACGCCAACCCCTAGCTGACCTGAATGATTTAAAATTATTCGATAAGACTTGCACCACATCCGTCTGATGGAGCTTCGAGAATCTGATCCGGTTCATTCACATCACGTGCTTGTCCCTCAAAGATCCCAAGCCCGAAGGCCTAAGGATGCTGAAGCTCAGGCCTTAAGGGAACAAGCGGCAAGTCCAACACAAGACTGTAGGACAAGAGCAACAGCAGAGATGTTGCGATGGCTTTGGAAGAAGGCTGCAATTATTCTTGTCAGCAGCAGCGTCCAGCAGCGGACGCACAACTCCGAAATGGCCTTTGCAATTCCGCGCTCTACAGCTGTCCTGCCATTGTGGCTCCCAACAGCAAACGCACAACTTCAGCGCAGCTTTCTGCTGATGCCCGCATGAGACGTTTCCAGCCAGTGTTGTCTTCCCAGTTCTCGTCAACACCCGCGTGGAAAAGCTTCAACATAGCCTTTGTGATGAGAGGCGTGCAGTCATTGGCCTGTTCGGCTCTGGTTGGCACTTGCCTCCGCAGCAAACTCACAACTTCACGCTTTTTTCCTCGAGACGTGCCAATGCGGGTGCTGTGAAGCGCGCATGTTGTGACTGCCCACAAGGCCATGAATGGGTGTGCAGCTTTCATCGTTATCCGCCACGTTCAATTTCACGTGGGCAGACTGCTTCTGCTAAGGCCACGTCACAAAAGTCATCAGAAACCGTACGCTGCTCTTGTCGGCGGAATTGCATCCATTTTCTTCTGCTGGTTGGCTTCGCAAAAGTAGGTAGCATCTGTCCGAATCTCACAATGACTACGCCTATGGCAGTGATCGGGAGGCAGTGTCACAAGAGCGCCATCGCCTTTCGCGACTATCCAACACAGCGAACCATGCTTGGCACCCCACTGGAAAAACATCTGGGTGGTGTGGGCGGGTTCTGGCATTCTCGCAAGAAGGTCTGCGGCTCCACCCGCAGGCGTTCCCTCCGCATCACTGCGTGCATGCACTGCACTACATAACAGCGCGGATTCCAAAGAAGCTCGTAACCTGGTACCAGTTCAGCCCGCAGGCATCTCAGCTACCCTTAGCAGATTTCTGCGTCCATGATACGGATGTTTCTGGCCAAAAAGGGGGAAAACATTTCAATAGCGAACAGCTTATCGCCAACTACATGAGCTGCATATAGCTGTGTGAAGGACGAGATGTCGCACATGTTGACAGTCAACCTGCAAGCATTCCGCAAAGCAAAACGGGCAACCATGGATGCTTTCTTGCACGGTGGCGACGTCAGTCAACTTAGGATTGTTGATCTAGGCACTCTTCATGTTCTGGACGCAAGCAAGTTGACGACGTCTGTAGCAGCAGGCACAACCTGTGACAGCCGAGACGGCCATCCAGCCGGGGGGCTGGCCGGCGACGGCAGGAAGTTTCATGCTCTTGTCATGCCTGCTTCTGTTCACTCCGCAAACAGCCCAGGAGGAGGAACAGTGTTTCGTCTCCTCTTAGCTGTTTGGGGACTACCACCTTTCCAAGAAAGCCACCTGAGTGAGCTCACGCGCTGCATCGCTGCATCCAAAAGTCATCAGCGAAAGCAAGCAAAGCCAGTTGCAAGTTCATACTTGATGCCAGCCCGGAATCATTTCTGAGACGCTCGTCATTGTTCGGGCTCGTTTGTTAGAATCGTGGCGGAAATCATTTAAACTTTCGCAAACATTGCTTCAAAGCTCTCACATCGCTTGACACCTGCACCGCAAAGAGCCGTAACAACATTGAAAACACGATAACCATTTCAGGCCTCAAGAGCACAAAACTCAGGGACTACCTGGCAGATTAAACACGCACCAAGGTCTTCGGGAACTCCAAGAAACTTCAAAGTCTGAGCAACCTGAAACTCAGGCTCTAACCGCCAGAACCAGGAAGATTTCCCATACTACTCATTTTGGTACGCCATATTGAAGGCAACAATGCACACACACACTGATATAATGCTGCAGTATCATGCTACTACAGGTATCAATCCGCATGCTGTTTGAGTCCAGAGCCGCAACTCAGAACACCAACTCTCACAAGTCAAGCTAACAGACTCTAGGAACGAATGCAGCAAAGCACATGTAACTATGAACTACGGAAGGCCCGCAGAAGCGTCCTTGAGAAGAGCTAGAGAGCAACAGAGAGCAACACTGCATGCTTTCAAGGTGTGAGGGAACAAGGCCTTTATGGCGCTCAGCGCGTAACAGATCCTAAGACCTTGTTGAAGAAATTTACGGAAACGTGCGGAAGAGGCGCCTCCTGCAGCAGATGCACCTCGACGGTGGCGGCCAGGCGCTGTGACCAGGCCGAGCAAGGCGAGGAGCCAGCAGTGGCGCCGGTACCGCTTGGAGTCCTCGGAAGCGGCCTGGGCAGCTGGCAATGACGTGTTTGCATTTGATTTTTTCTCTCACTTTCGGACTGAACACAGCAACCAGGTCACAGGGACCGCGCAAGCGCAGAGATGGGAAGATAGGCCAGCTGTTCCAGATCGGCCTCCGGCCTTTCATCTTGGCAGGTGCAGCCCTAGACTCCAGACTCCTGAAGCCCCAAGCCTTGGCAGTTGAAGCTCAAGAGTGGGCTCAAGAGTGGGCTGAAGAGTGGAAGGTTCCTCCCATAGCCGTGGACAGTGTGCTTGCACCTAGGCATCTCAAGGTTTGCGGATGTTCCCTGAAGCAGCTCTCTTTCATCCAAATCACTATTTCCTCTGGCTTCGGAACAGCCACACCGGTGGTCCTCAGGGAGCTGCCGCTAGTACAAATTCCTGACCTCATCTATACTCACGAGCCGTGACAGTTCTGAGTGATTATCCTTGGTGAATGACTTGTGCAGCGATTATGCGGGACAGAAACCCATAATTCAGTTAGTCGCCTTCTGTGCGCCAGCTGCCGTAGCGCAGCGGCTGCCACTTCCGCACCGGCTGCTGCAAGGTGCCCAGCCTTCACACTGCTACTGAAGTGCTCGGATGAAGCCTACTTTGACCTACTCTCCAGAACATCAGGACTATGCGTGATTGGCCGCCAAGCTCGCTCCAATCCAGTTGCCGCTGCTTTTATTCACATGCTGCCACATTCACGCCTTCACAGCTGAAGCAGACTGCTTTGCTCGAACATCATGACACTCCTCAAGAGTGGAAGCTAGAGTGGAAGCCGATGCAGTAGGTCTGGGGTCTACGCAGAAAGGTGATCTCGACATCCGCGCTGGGTTTTTTTGAGTATGCTTGCGACTGACAATCGCAGCTCTTCTAGCCTGCTGATCCAAAAATATCGAAGTAACAATCCAAAGAAGCGTTCCAACTGCGAAGCCTAACAAGAGCTCTGCTCCATGCAGTCATTCCACCCCAAACACTGAAATCTTTCGTGCGGATTGCACAAGACTCTAAGCCTATAGCCCATCAGCCGCAAACGAGTCTGTTAGAAGATGCCTGTTACCTCCTTGTTGGAAAGCCAAAGCCTTTCAACCCCTGATGTCAAAGGCTCTCAGCTCCTCGGCATGCAACTCAGCGAGCTGCTCCATGGCCGCCCGCAGCTCCTGGAGCTCTGCGCCAGCCTCCTCTTGAGAAGAACTTTCAAGCCCCTCAGGCAGAACTCAAGATTCCCCTGGATGAGTCCTCCATTTGCCGTTTGCTTTCCAGCCAGAAGGCATCTGTATGCTCTTGCAGGCATCCAAGCCTCTGCTAGCTGAAGTTAGAAATCCTTTCTCAAGCGTGGCTTCAAGAGTAGTGCCCCAGGCAACTCCACTTCCAGGTCGTCCAAAGCGGCGCATTCTTGGGTCTCCAGCTTTACGTCTTTCGAGTCACCAGTCTCCTCAAAGTGCCGCCCAGGGCCCTTACCTGGGCCAGATTCCTGCAAATCTGCTGCTGGCTCGGTCACATGGCTTCTGATGTCCGCGAAGAGCGAAGTCGGAGGAAGGTGATGGAGGTCAGGACCGCTAACCACCTTGGTGCCGCAACTGAGCGAAATCGGATCGCACTCGCCGCATCAAAGCTGCATCTGGGACACTAGGGAACCTTGCTTTGGGCTCAGCGGTATGGTCTTCGGCGCCTCTTTGGGCACAGATACCTGGGAGTCCCAAGTCAGCAAACACCACGGCTGCAAGCGCTGCACCAAGACTGCACCAGGCTTTGCAAACAAGCTTCCGCAGGGGATTGCAGTCCGTAATGCCTGCCACGCTGCTAGGGCTTCTCAAGCATGGACAACCTAGACCAGCGCCCACCTGTGCACTAACGCGACAGGTACTTCACCTTCCGATGCATCCAGCGCTGTGAGGGGCGAGCGCTTCTCAGCGGATGCTTGCTTGTCTATGCCAGCTTTCACGGGAGTTGCTTTCGCAACCTCCGGCTTCATTTTTTCAGGGCTATCCTGGTGGACCACCTCTTTTTGAGGCAGCTCCTCCATGGCTGTCTACCCTAAAGTCAGCTGGTTTTTGCGACGCTCGCACCGGTCAGTCGCAGAGCCGACATGGCCGACACGGCCAGCAGCCTGCGCACCCAGCCCCTACTTGAACCTCAAGCAGCATGAGGCATGGCAACCTCAAGCAGTGCAGCGCAAACAAGCCAAGGTTCCAGCAAGTCCTGCTGAAGCAGCACTGAGCATTGTCTTTTTGGTCGGAGCACCCGAACTTGCTTTGCTCACTAGAGTAGCGGCATGGCTGACCGTGAATAGCCTTGACCTGTCACTTGTCTATGTGGGTCTCTTTTGGCAACCACTGGTGTGGATGTCATGCAGTGCATTGCATGGCTATTCAAGTGGAAAACACCTCCTTGAGAGGCGCTGCAGAACTCTGGCCCGATTCCGTGAGACTGCCAAGTGGATGCCCTGGACAACATGTCTGATGCTGAAGGTGTTGTGGATACGGGTGAGTAATTGATCGAAGACAAGCCCAACACACCTTAGCAGCTGTACTCATGTATCTTGAAATTGCTCGCCACATTTTCCTGCCCTCCACTGGTTTTAAAGTTCCCAACTTCAAGTCCGATATGAGTATTCCTTAGCAATTCTTGTGGACTCGAAGTTGAGGACTCTCCAGCTCAAGCTGCGCTGTCACAGCTGAGCATCTGGTGCCATTCGGCAGCTGCGCCAATTTCTTGTAAAGAGTTTGCTTTTCCTCCTGTGTTCATGCAGTATGGTGCGGCAGGGGAAACTTGGACTGCAATTTGGTGGGATGGCTTCCTTTGAGTGTTCAGATGGGTGAATGCATTCAGTGGTAGCAAGCTGAGCACGTCTTTACAGGCTTCCCCACAACAGTGTCATGAGCACTGACGGCAAGCCGTTGTCACAGCTCCAACACTACCTCAGTGTCAGCAATATTCATACTCAGCAGATAAAAAGCAACATCTTGTGCATTTTCCCCAACTACAAGTAGGCCAAGCATGGTGAGCAGTGGCTTCTGCCAGCGCAGGTTCTGCACAAGTCGCCGCAACATGTCCAGCCCTGCCTCTCCCTCAAACTGCATGCAATAATTACATTTCGGAAACAACGCGTGAGCATTTCAACAGGTGGGTCTGTGAGTGCCACGGCAAACCTTGGTAATGTCTGAGGGTCCCGCTTTTCCTGCGTTGAAGACAAATAATCCAGTAACTCCTCCCAAGACGATGCATTCCCTTCTCAACTTCCTTGCATTTGTTTGCGTTTGCGTCTGCCAATTGCTGGAAACATAAAAGTTGGGTTGAAGTCTTGCAGCACACTGCAGCTATGTAATGCCGTCTTAAGTTCAAGTGTTGGCGTGCGATCTCTATGAGGATTAGAGCAGCTCTCGTTGGATCATCAGCAGCTCTTGTCCAGAGAGTCTGCTCCCTGAATGGCCTCTTGCTCCCGCGCGAAATTGCCTGTTGAGACTTAACCCAAATGAAACCATCACCTCATATGGACTGCATAAATCCCACTTCGCAGCTCAGAAACCAGCTCAGGCATGACATGATGCCGCAAAAACATAACAAACAGCTCTGGGCAACACAACAACAAAGACCACAGCAAAGCCAGTTACGACCTGCCGCAACATGGTAGAACATGAAACAACAGCGGCGTATGCTTGTCTGAGATCTCTCAGGTGCTCATGGCCCCAGAGCATGTCCTGATCTTGTGAAGAGACGGGGTCGGTGTTCGGTATTCCTGCCCAACGGGTTTAGCTTATCTCGTGCTGGCTTGCTAGTTTGTCGAGCAGGCTGATTGTCGACAGCAATGCGAGCTCTCCAGAAATATTCGCCAGAATTGTCAATGTACGCTGGCTTGGAGGCCTCATACTGTAAAACAAGGACAAGGTGGCATTCAACTCAGGAAGTCCTCCATTTCCCGGGTGTTCAGAGGACGCTTGACTTCGTAAATCACATTTCTTTCTGTTGTTACAAATCATCTGTACATGTGCATGCCTTCGGTAGTTCATCGACCTTCACGATAGAGGCAAAGCTAAAGGTTGCGAGTGATAGGCAACACCTGTTACAGCGTATTCAACTGTAGCCGCAGCTGGAAAGACCTCAGAGGGCGTTGTCAACTTGTGAGTGGGGCCCAGTATCCTGAGGCCTCCAATTGCAACAAGCTCCCCAGACACATACACCTCGAGCCCTTTGGCAGCGCCTAGCCGCCTCTGGAGCTCCACCAGGATGTCTGCGCCTCGTGTCAGCGAAGGGAGCTGTGCTATTACTTGATCTGCCAATAAGAACTTCCTCAGTCCTTGAACCACGTTTCTTTTTTTTAAGAGAGAACATGACAAAAGCAGCAAGAAAAAGCCTTACATCCCTTCGCCGCGCAGTGCCAAGCCGTTTTGCGAGAGTGCATGTTGAGGCGTAGCTTACACATACATCGCCAACCCGCCGTGAGCATGAGAACGTTAGTATTATCAACATCACGGAGGATCCTGGAATGACAGCACAGTCGGCACTAACGCCTGTACAACGGTACAGGGGCTTCTGTGAATTGATTCTGAGGATTTGGTTCACCAAATAGAGAGCAGCACAAGAAACAAAAAAACATGCGGCAAAAGGCATCAAAAAATTAAGCAATCAGCAAATCGCCCTGCACTTTTGGTTGGGATCCTCAGATGCCGAGAAACTCGGGGTGCGCTCCAGCTCCGCCATGATGTTGTTGCTCAGCTTCCATTTTGGCTTTTCCAGCGGCTCCTTCCGCTAAGATACAATCTTATGATTTTAATAGTTCCATGAAGCCATGCAGGCTGCATAAACACAGCAACAGAACTGTTGACCAGTAGTTACTCAGCAGTTGATTTACCACTGCCTGGACGGGCTGCTGCAATTTAGGCGCCATGTTCGCCGGGCCTTAGAATGAAGGTTGGCTTTACTGACCGTCAACTTGAGCGCAGTCTTGCATGAATACCTGTAACTTACACATCAATCTTGAGAGATTGCTTGTTGATTGCAGGAAGCAGCAGCTACTTAGCTACTTTTCCAAAAGGACTTCAAAGGCACCCACCTCGCGATCTTTGGCGAAAAAGGCGGTACAACTTCTTCACACGTTCCTTGACTGGTTGCGGTTGAAGTCTGAAGCACATTGCATTGCGGTGAATTTGACTACTTCTAGCAGCCCAGCTCCGGCCTGGACTTCGTCTTGGCTCCGAAGCACGGCCGTTTTGAACCTCAAATTCATCCGCAGCAAACTTTACCAGTGCAGAGATGTCTCTCCATATTTTAGGCGACCGCGAGGACCAGTCGAGAAGATTCACAGCTGCCCCCGGTCTGAGCCGACCTGGGAAGAGAAGGATTAGATTCAGGGTGATCGCCCCATTGATTCTGGGACGGGAGCAAAGGGCTTCCACGAGCTCCTCCAAGCCCATGCTCATAGCCTCGCCGCCTGGCAGATCAGAGGCTACTCGCCTTGAAGCCCGACGCACGACACTGGCTTGGCCTTGGCTGGGATCCTTGTGTGGAGGATCAAAGAGCAGCTGAACGTACATGTCAAACTGCTTGTCCTTGCAAAGATTGGTCTGTCCCAAAATTCTCCCGGACAAGCAGAGGAAAGCCGACTGTCCCCCGAGGGCCCTTGAAGACCCTGGAAGCCCGTGCCCATTGAAGGTCTCGAAAGCCCTGACACACACACACCTTGATTCCCAAATCCCGCAGCGCAGCCATAACGTTCGCGTCGTACTTCCTGGCGCGGATCTCCGGCTTTCAAGACTGGCATCTTGCATACCGAGGCAGTGAACATAACTCCTGCAACGCCGTGTCATGGCTGGCCAGATACCCACATCCGAAAATAAACATGGCAGGAAGCACATGGTTGCAAACTCCTCTTTTGAGATGAGTCCGCTATTGTCCTTGTGGCCATGAAACCACCCCAACGTGCCGGGAACACATCGGGATTTACAGCGCTGCTTGGGTTGCGTCCCCATGCCCATCTATCCTGTTGGAGCGAAAAGAAAGAGCTAAGGCTGGGACAGAATCCATCGATGTGAAGATTGTCAGTATCGCTTCGGCAGCCTTCAGGCTTTGGGAATGATTGAGCATTCATCATCAATACACCTGGCATTCTTCAAAAAGCAAACCGAACTTCGTCCACTCTCAACCTTGAGCCTACAGTGCCTAGGCACACCTCCAGTCCGCTTACAATAAACCTTTCCACAGGCCATTAACTGCCTTCCTCTCTCAGCAGCAGAGAGTGGGTACAAGTTGAAATCATGGTTGCCTGCTCCTTTGAAGCGCGTTGGCCCTCTGCCTCCGCAGTGCTGCCCACTACCTGGCAAACATCTAGATTCCAGACTTGAACGGCTAGGGCCTGGTCAATATGGCCTTTCTAAACTCAAGGCACGCGGGACAAGCTGAAACACGTGCTGCTCCGCGCGGAGTCTCTTTTTTTGGCGCGCAGAAGGTTTCTGAAGCTTGTAATTCCTTCCAGTATTCGTCATGTCTCGCATCTCACATGGCTTCATCCAGAGAAGAGAACCTTCCAGAAACCTTTGAGTAACATGTCATCCTGAGCGATGGGCCGTCAAACATGCAAATCATGCACAGGCGTGCTTTGAAGCTTGGATGTGCCAGAAACCATGGGGATTGGGAATAGGAGAACTTCTGGGCACAAATGCAGGCCTGATTACGTTGTTCAGGTGAGCATTTTGAGAATTAAAAAACCTAATCATACGTGCGTAGAATTGAGAATGTCTTTCTTGGCACATCCCCACCGTGTGCAGTCATTCAGCTGCCATGGCTATGTCACGCTGCAGGTGGACAGCCAGATTCAATCTGGCGAGTTGCAGAAGAACTTGCCGCAAACGCCAAGGGGTGGATTATGAAGTCAATATTCACCAGCCCGACTGAGATCTGCCAGACTTCTATGCTGCCATATGAAGCCCTTGGCAGTCTGCGCAGCTGCACTGCACATATTTACAGAGAGAAGAACAAAGCTCGAACTGCTCCAGACACGTTCTGCTGTCAGCTCAAGGTTTCTTCCACTCACACGACTTGCACCCGATACATCCTGATACCTTTAATCCGCTTTACTGGTATTATTCTCATGCGTGACGAAATCAGGTGCAGCGCGTAAACATCAGACCACTAGTCGTCTCAGCACTGTCAGCGCCTCGGAGCCTGTTCTTCGTCACCTAAGCTCACGGCACTGCTCCTGCTCTTTTACGCCATCTCCTTCTGAGAACCCAAAATGGCGTCTCAAAGGTCACGGTAATCCCGCCAAGCTCATGGCAGTCGGGAGTGAATCCTGGCCCCAATGCTGCAGATGCACAGACTGATGGACTGAAACACTCATGCTGACCTGCTGCAATTTCAAAGCTGCAGAAAGGCTGCCATGTTGTTGCTAAACAATTTGAGGAGCGTCCTTCGTATTCCAGCTTTCTTCGCGGGCACCAGCCGCGTCCCCGAAAATGTTCTTTCCCTACTGGATACTCCTCCAGGACCAAACGCGTCGCCAGGCACTGGGCTGGGCTCTTGGTGCTCTGCAAACTTAAGGCCTTGAAGTTCCCGAAATCCCGGTCGTGGGTGTAGCTCACGCACACGGCGTCTGGTGGGCCTGGAAGTGCTTGTGCCAGCCATGCCAGCCTGAAGAAAGCTTAGGAATGCAGAGCCAGACCTTCTTCCACATGGTAGTCCGGATTCTCTGAGTCATCACCTCAGCTCTTTGGGATCTCCCGTGGAGGACTGACAGACCATGAGCTTTTTACATGGCACCCAGGACGGTCTTAGGCTGTTTCTTGCATCGGGATAGGCTCAGAAACCTCATCAGTAAAAACATCATCATCATGAAATGACAGGCCAGGTGGCTCGCTCTGTACCTCAGATGCAGGCACTGTTCCTGGCGTGGAATGCTCTGCTGCAGACCTTTTTTAGAACATAGCAGATTAGCTTTTGCCAGATTGATGCACGTAGTCAAGACATGGCTGCGCAAGGCGAAACAAAGCAGTGGCAGCCAAACTTCCTTGCAAACCCGCAACGTACTGGAGTGGTTCCACAGAATGAGGTTCAGCCTCTCACCGGACCTCAGCAATGATTACGATCTATGGTTGGACTGATTACAGCAGGACATCCGTGAAACAAAACTCATGTTCAGCATCTTCCCATGCACGGGACCGAGGCACGTGATGTCGTCAGCTCCATGCCGCCGCCGGCCAAGATGGATGACGCAAGACCCCTTCGCCCAAAGAGCCCATGAATGAGTTGGGTTGGCAAAGTTCATTTGGACTATCGTTGACGAACTTCTGCAATACTGAGTGAGAGTTTCCATGATGCAGGACTAGGCGTCGAGGGCCAGCAAGGGATTCACACTTGGCGCAAACATGAGCAATCATGCAAGGATGCAGACCCCTGCAAGCCTTCTTGTGGTAGTAGGTGTAGCAGTGCTTGCGGTGGTCCGTGGCACCCATCATTCCGCAAAACTGCAAGCCGGCACCTGCGAACTCCAATCCGAGGCAGAGATTCACAGTCACGTCCTTGGCTGCATAGCAAGAAGCTCCTCAAGGTGCCACCTTCTAAAACTGCAGTAGACGCAGCGCACCACAAAAAGTTGCTAGTGTTACTTGGCATTCTTCCTGCCCAGGGTCTGAGTCATCGGTGTGCATGTCCAGGCCGAGATCCTCACCGGATCGGTACCGGACCTTCAAAGCATCCCAGAGCTTGAAGCCTCCAGACCAGACTTGTTTGACTTTCTCAGCTGAGCTTCAATGAAGCAGTGATGTCCATCCTGAGGACACGGAAACTTTGAGGGGGTCGGATTTGGGTGGGATTTGAGTCTGCTTTTCACCGCCAAGAAGGTGCCAAGACTCCCAGCAGCTCCCCGGGCCCGGGAAGAGAAGTTCGCCCAAGGGCTGCAAATGGCGCCTTGATTCGTGCAGACCTTCTCCAAACTATCAAAGCCACAGCACCGCCATAATTGCCTTTTCAATTGCTTTTTTGTTTGCTTAATCCGCATTTTTTTTGCTGAAGGCTAGCAACTGCAGCGGATTTGAAGGTTGTAGGAGTTTGAGAATGATGCTGCGTCGATTTGGATTTGAAGGGGTCGTCTAGCATAGTCTAGTCCAGTCACTGCAGCTCATCAATAAGGGGCTCCAGGCCAATGTCGTTGAGGATGATGCCATAAGCATTCATGCCTGAGCGGAAACCGAAGCAACCGCGCGTCTCATCGGATGCACTCCTTCCAAATGTCTCATGTTTCAGTGCTGCTACAGTAGTTGCAAACGTGTCTTCTGGAAATATGTCAGACATCTCTTCCTCCAACTGTCTAGTGCTGCGATGTCGTGAAATAGCAACAAGCCATAACCATCGCTGTCTAATGCACTCCAGACCAAGCTCAGGACTGTTTGGACGTCTGGCCGGAAGCCCACCTCAGAATTCTACCGGTGTCTAGGGTGTAGCTGGTCGGAGGCGCAGCCGACAGGAAGATTCACAAGCAGCTTGGCAAATCCATGGGCCCAGCATGGCATGGGAATATTACCAACGGACATTTCAAAAGTCGCAGATGCTGCCCGAGAATAGCTGGGGAGCTCTTGTAAAAGTTGAAGACCTCACTCAGGAACATCTCGCAGAAGGCCTGATAAAACAAGACAACAACCCTTTGAGCTCTCTGGTCGATCGAAACTATCAGGATCCCTCTATGACTGTCCACACATGTCAATGTGTCTTTTGGCCAGAATGAGGAATGAGAAGGGAGAGGGATATGCGCCTCGGTGACCATCTGAAAGGAATACCTCGGCAAGGCGTTTGCCAAGTGCATTTGGAGCGGTCATTTACCAAAGAACATGAAGCAAGCAGCTACCAGAAAAGCAGGTTTACCTCTTATTCCAAGCGGCACCTGTCCAGGAACATGCTCTGTTAAGATGCTCTTCCACACGGCCGGATCCTTTTGGTGGATGGCCTGGCTAGGCAATTGGGTTCAAGGCCTTCAACGGCCAGCTGGAGCTCATGACGAAGAGCTGGAAGTCATTGCACGGCTCCACGCGTAGGCGTTAGGTGAATTTAGGTTGTCTCAACTTGCCTTGCGAAAATCGTCAGCCAGCCACTCATCATGCCAGTAGCCAGCGAACAGCTCGGGATGGAGAGCTTGGGATGCATACCTGCCCAAAGCGAAAACATACACTTGCCGCATAGCGACATTCTCATTTTGACAAGCCCTGGAACCGACAGGAATACACCCACCTGACGCCGGTCTTGATGACTTTTGGGGAATGTCCTGCAATGGAAGCCTTCACAGCATTGAAGAGGCGCACTTGCGTATGATATCCAGGCGTTCGGAGTTCATCTTCTTGTTGACGCTCACCGACTCACAGATACGCAGGTGTAATGTTCCGAGAGGGGATTCCAGACTCCTTGTGTTGTGCGCATGCTAAGCCTCTAAGCTGGCAGTGCGCCTTGACAAGCTTCTCCGGCACTTTGTCCTTCAGGCAAGACTTGTCTGAGTTTGCAGGCAAGGCCCTATAGCCTTCAGAGCAACAAGGAATCAACTCCAGGCCAAGCCACAGGCGAAAGCTTCCACGATGCGAACGGATCCACCAGGAATGTGCGAATTGCCTGATGTCCAGCAAACGACAGCTTTAAATTGGCCTGGGAAACTGTAGCGCAGAATTCCTACCAAACTACGCAAAGGCTCAAGGCCCAAAGGAGAAATCAGGAAAGCAACTATGAACATCCGGTGTGCTTGCACTTCAGCTGCACAATGCACATTGCCCACTCGCAAGTTCAAAGCTCCAAGTTTGCCTGCTCTGCTGCTCTCAGGGCTTGTCATGAAAATGTTTGCTCGCTCGATTCTATTGCTTTGAGGCCCAGCCCACTTCTTCTTGGGTTTCAAAGTAACCTGGAAGTCTTTCCACAGACTGCAGCAGCCTCCACGGTGAGCTTCAAGGTGCAAGCTTGGTTCTCGTCCCTGGCACTTGCACTTTGGGCTCCGACCATTGTTTTTGTGAACGGAAGTTTTATGAACGGAAGTCTTACGGCCAGCCATCCCACCCATCGCTGTCCCGTTTAGATTTACTTGCAGAAGTCCTGTTGTGCATCCTGTTTTCACCAGCTCACACGCATTGCGGATTGTCTACTCTCTGCAAGTCTTTCACGATCAATAAGGCCACTGTTTGGGGTCAGGGGACCAAGCAGACCTCTATTGATGAATTGGCACCTGGGCAGGGCCCTGTAGAACGGCATCAGCATGGCCCCGTTCTCGTCTGTGAATGCGTGATGGAACCTCAGAGTTTTGCAAGTTGACATGCATGGCGAAAGCAAATCATAACTTGCGAATGCGTACGGCGTACAGTAAATTGTGATTTTCTCTGCTATCATCAAGGTAGGCTCCTGGCACACCGCGGAAGCGTACCAGGGGCAGCTTTGCTGGCCACAGGTCTGGATCAAATCGAATGTTGACCTTGGACAGCGTGGAACCCAAAAAGAAACACGCAAACTCAACATCGACAAGGGGAAATGACACGAAGCTGGATCAGGCATACTGAGAAGAAAGAAACCTAAGGGACTTGTTCTTACAGCTCAAAACAGAAAAGGAATCCTCAGTGAACCATGAGAGCCAGCACAATCTGTCCACGCACAACAACTAACCTGACCAGCTCATAGAAGAATCATTTGCATTCTGGTCAGCAATGCACTCCGGCAACTTTAGTGAAGCCCATGCTTCACAGAAACTCAGTGTAGAGGCACCAAGGTACTCTCCACGGGACGCCGTATGCCTCGTCATCTTCCGCACCCGCCACGCAAAGCTGGAGGTCCTGACAGTCTTAACTACGATCTTTCGGTGGTATGGTGACTCTGAACACCAAATGTCCACAAATTAGCAGAACCAGTCCAACTGGCTCAGGCTCAGGCCCAAGGACCGTTCCTGAGGGATCATGTCATGGTGTCCATAATACTTGAACTCTCACATTACTGCTCGAAACAACATGTTGAATTGCAGATCCTAGCTGGAAAATGATGAGCAATACGTTCAACAGCCTTGACAACAAGAGACGCAAGCAGCTTGGCTAGAAGTGAATCTAGCGTAAATGAAGAAAACCTGTTTGGGCTAAAGATTGGCTCAACATGTCAGATTCTTGATGCAGAACATAACTTTTGCGTGATTGAAGTCTGGGCTGCCGCATAGTTGCTCCTCTGGATGTTCTGGCCTCTGGAGCTGACCGTTCTCGTCACAAATCAGGGCCGGGGTCCTTGGGAACAACATGTCCATTCCATGCTAATGTACTCTGAGGCAGACTGTGCCACGGATGACCTATGCATAAGAAGCATGCTGGTCAAGCCGGGGCACGTGAGCTGTCCAACTTTGCTGACCTGAGAGCACAAACAAAAGAGATGCAAATCCAGCTGAGGACGCGGGTTATGCCCTGTGCCACTGCACTGGAAATGCCTGACATACCTTCTCCAGAGTTGCAAGTGTCGTGTTCTGAGTGAGTCAGTGGGTCAGCGCAGGTGCACCAGCCAAACAACGTGCCCCGCTGTTATCTCAGCCTTTCCGCAAACCTCATCAAGGCTCCGGAATACTTCGACACGCTGGGCCCCTCGATCTAAGCTATAGGACTGCTTCACCCGGACCGCCTTCAGCCCGCCCCCCTCCCCCCCCGGGCGAACATGATACATATCCAGTATCCAGCGGTCAGGTTGGGTTGGAAATGGTCACTTCGCAAGACAGCTCGCTTTGCAGGACCGGAAGCTCTTCCCCATGCCGTCCCTCACCGAAGTACGCTGGGGGCGCAAGGTCAGAGAAAAGGCAGTCTACCTACCTAGCCCATCCGTACATGCGCACGTGCACCGTCGGCAGACCTGTTGGTCCTCCTCCGCTACTGCCACAACATGTCCTGTGCCAGTCGACGCCTTGATACGCGGCCGCCTCTCCGAAAAGATTGACTGATGATGTATAAGCAAGCCCAATGCTAGAGTTCTTGGTGACGAGATGCATAGGCTGGCGGATTTGATCGAAGTTCCGCAACCTGCTTCTTCAAGTCCTGCGCAACATTGGTGCCTCTCTGCTGTCGCTTCGGATGCATTCCCTGCTCATCCGCTCTGACAACACCCTTACATGCCCCTACCACCCGGCCTCGATGTCAAAGACTTTCTCTGTCCGCTGCTTCTTTGCCGCGGGTGACTCATCTGTCTCCTCCTTCGCACAGCCGCGGATGGGCTTCAGTTGAGTAAGCAGCAACCATCAGTTGATACACAGAGCTCCGAATCATCCTCACTCTGAGGCTGCAAAGACGAACTTCTGCCTCCTCTTCTGGAGCTTCAACTGCAGGAGTTGCAGGAGCTTCGGCTACCTGGGAGAATGTTTCAACTCGAAAAGCTTGGCTTCAAGGGCACGGTTATATTGTTCGGGGCTTGCAGCTGCGTGGCCTCTGACCTTACTGGCGCCTCCTCTGCGGCCATGCTCGAAGGCCAAAGGTGAAGGGCACCCATGCGAGAGGCTTTTTGGGCATCACAACCCTGACAGTGCTTTGGTGATCCCCGATGCAGAAGCCCCAGTGCTTGAAGCCAGAGGTTCTTGGTGTGCGCATGTGGGCGCTGTAGAAGTGGCACATGCAGTCTTGGCGGCTCCACTATGCCGCTATGCTGTCAAGTGCTGCCATCTTGTAAAAAGTTCTACAGAGCCAACATCGAGCGTTTCATTCACGACATGCAGCTGCAATGGATAACTCCGAGGGTCCTACTCCAAGAGATGAATCGAATCCATATTAGATAACAAGAGCTGGAAGCAGGACCTGAGCACCTGTAGGACTCGAAGAGGCTACTGCAAGCATGGCCTCCACAAGAATTCCGACAAGCATGTTCAGCATCATGAAGGAGTTCAACAGGATGTAGAAGATGAATGCCTCCCGTGAAACCAAGTCAAGGCTTCATGTCACCAAGGAACAGCACACCACATGACTCAAAATGCTCGCAACTTTCTTAAAGCTTTCTCCTACCAGAATTCATCAAAAGTATTATCAACAAGCTGTGTCAAGATCACACCTTGCCCACCCGCTGCGTATCACTACTCCACTGCTGACAAGTCCAGGACACCCCTTTCTTGAACGCTTGTTTGCGCAGGTTGCATTCTGAAGAGTAAGGCATTTTGCCAAGCAGCCACCAGGTACCAGTAGTTGTTTTGTCTCCGGATAACATCCTCAGAGTCAGCAAAGCATTACCAAGCCTGGCCCCCAGCACTCCGCTTGAAAGCACCCTCGAAACTGATAGCATAGCGGCCGCACACTCGGTCACATCATCCAGGATGGTCCCCATAATGAGCAGCGTGAGCATCGACTTGTCCATCCCACCAAAGTACTCGTGTATCTGAGTAAGACATTGGCATACATGGGCAAACGATCCATCCGCATCTGCAAGACACACTCCACACTCGATGGAAGAAACGCACCAGCAAACCGGCCTTCCGTGGGTCCTCGTCAGGCCAATCCTTCATCTCCTCATCGGTGATGTGACCTCGCATGAAGCTGTCGTAAATTGTGTGGAATCCCCGGTCGTATGCAGGATGCCCTGACGTGAACCCAGACCTGCACATACCTTGAAGTGACTGCCTATGCGACACAGCTCCAAACCAAACTTGCAAGAATGTCGCTGCCTTGGTGGTATTCGTTCGTGAAGAGAATGGACCACGTGAAGCTGATGATGACCTGCTCTTGAACAAACCACGCACTTCGCCGAGAAGGCAAACATGAAAGAAACTTACAAAGCATTGCTGAGCTACCATTGGACGACGCCGAACCATGAAACTCTCCCTTGACCTTTTCTGAACGACAAGATTCTTGAGCACCTTGAGGATGAGATTCAGCAATTTCCTGATTCCTCGTATGTTTCCTGATGCTCTGAATGACCCTTGTAACAGGCAAGGGGCCAACAGAACAGCCGTCCAACCCACAGCCCGAGCTGCGGCAGAGATACCTTCGGTCACAAGTTGGGAGGCTCTGTGACATGGAGTGAGCATTGCCAGATAGTGGAGTGATCGGGAGCAGGATCCGAGATGGTTCAGTTTACATTTACATCGGGTGCAATACACTCACATCCTTTTCAGGGCCCTGCCTTTTATGATCATCATCAGCTGGGGAAAGGCTCTCATTAGCTTCGCCATTCTGGTGATGCCTCAGCCAAATTCAACATCCTGGCTCTCGCAAAGGCGGAGATTCCAGCGAGAACTGACATGCACCTGTTCAGATCTTGAAACCATTGAGCCTCTGGCGAAGCAGCCGAAGTAGCCTGCCGGGAATGAAGGAGCAAAGTCTACAGCAAGCTGGATGTCAGCTTCCACAGCCCCGCAGGCGGCCCGATTCCGTCCCGCCTCAAAATGCTAAGCTGGCCAAGGCCCGATTCAAGACCCACAAACGGCATGATCCAGGTCTCCCACACCTCGGGCTCATGAGCTCTTGACATCAAACGGCAAGGCTGAATCCGAGCGCCAGGCCATCATCAAAACCAAGAGAAAGTCAAAAATAAACCAACCGTCACGAAGACAGTGGAGCTTTTGGCGGTACCTCTCTCTCTGCAAGCTGAGGATCTCATTTCGATTCTACAGCGGCTCTTATGTAAGAGGCATGCACTTCGCTGGTAAGCGGCGGACGCCAGGAATCGAATAAGGATCTCGAGGGAAAAGTAAGAAGCAAAAAACACCTCCAGCACAATGAAGAAGACCTGCAGGACAAAACCAACCAGCCTTGCCGGTGCAAGGGAAAGTCCGAGCCAACATACAGCAACCAAGGTTGTGGCATCACCTTCGTACAGGTTCGCTGGGACTCGCGTCCTGTCCGTATCGCGATTGCAAGGGTGCATGCTGAAATTCCAATCTACTACTACAGTACCGATACCGCACCTAAACCTGACAACGCAGTGCTGCTTTTCTTGGAATTGAGCTACATTTTGCAGGAGCAGTCTGCGGATCCCCACCTCGCTGAGTAATCAGCGTCCACTCCGATTGCAAGAGCGTTCAAAAAGATGACACCTTGACCACATGAGCGCAATTGCCAAAGCCTAAAGCCTCCCACACCTCAGCATATCTTGGCCTTGGTAGACTTGGGAAAAATTGCCCGGTGGATAGTGGAACCATGCATGCCCAGTGCGGTTGAGGAGCAGATGGTGACGCCTTCGAAATACTTGTTCTTGGCCATCTTCCCGAAGAAACTCAGTCAACATGCTGGTAATCAATACCGCCTCACATGAAACCTTTTCTTGCCTGACTGCTTGCTCGGAAGGCGGGTTGATAGCCGCAGCCGCAAGGGCTTAGTCTAGGGTTCGAATTCTAACAAACCACCTACCCTGGGATGCACCTACACAAGCATGAGGAAACCACCCCTTGGACCATCCAAGGCTCGAATCAGCAAACTTTTTCTGCAGGGCCACCGTGTTCGTACCCATCTGGCAAACTCACTAGCTGCAGGACACAAACTACATTGCGATGTACCAAACGCATAGATTGCAGGCATGCAGATCCCTAGACGGAGGACTTGCAGAGAACGTTGGAGCGGCACAAGCCTCAGGCTTTCCACCTTTGGCCACCTCCTCCTTGAGGTTGTGGATGTCACCGAACATTCTCCTGAGCATCGGCTTCCAATCAACAAGCAGAGCAGAAGGCATCCTCTGCGAATCGCGCATTGTGGCACAATGTGCTGAAGTATTGACATTCTGCATGCACGAAAGCTTAGTCATGCAGCCTTTCTGAAAATTCTACACCTGTGCAGCCACGTCACCCAGACGTAACGGGAGGAACGCTCGGCACAGCCGACCCCTTAGCGCCATTGCTGTCGGCAGCATCGTAGATCTTCCGAACTGACTCAGGCTGGCCTCATCGCTCTAGTCGAGGAAGGCATGCAGCAAGTGTAATTAGCATGATACCTGCGGCCCCGAACACCCTGCAGATCAATCCCGAAGTCATCATTACCAGCTGCCATGCTCGTCATGCTCATCATGCTCATATCGCATGTCCAAGAAATTCCAAAAGCAAGGCGACGCCCGATCAGCCCCCCTTTGGCCTACGCTCTGAGGAGGTCTGCCTTGCAAAGACGCTCAGGGAGTGTGGTTCACGGAGTTGCTGCGGTTGCATGACTCGTTTCGGCACTGGAAGGACATTCCAAGAAGCTTGCACAATCTTGCAGCCGGTTTGCGCTGCAGCTCCCTTTCCAGCACATTCTCGACCGCATCGACCTGGCAACATATTGCCATGTGGCGGTCAGCAGCACATTGAAGCTGGAACTTGGCATTCCAAGGGTCTCTTTCAAGGCTGTCTTGTCACAAGACAAGCAGAAGCATGCCCAGAAAATTCGAAAAACAAAAAAAAAAATGATGCAAGCACACATACGCCTGCGCAGGCATTTCGCCATTTACTGCTCCACGTCTCGATCCCGCATGCTCGACCGCTGCTGCGATTTGCACATTGTCGCGCTTGAAACAGGATGTGAGGTTGGGTAGGAGCTAGCTAAGTTGGGTTAGAGGCTGTCAGAGTGTGTGCTGCCATGACGTTGGCTGCCAGTTGCAAAACTTGTGATTAACAAGGTTTGGGTTGCTTTCATGTGCCGCACACCATACGGGCCATGTGGGCTTGGAGTATACAACAGCTTCACAGCTAGAGCCATCACCCAGCACAGAACACCGTTGGCATGCTGCATGCTGTCAGGCTGCTGCCAGCATGCAGCATGTGAATATTCGTTTTGACAACTCCGTCTATGATGGAAGCAGTCTTTGAAAACGCATCCCCTCTGTTCAAGTCTGCAGGGATTTCTGCGCAGCGGTTTTTTCGGTCTCTGAAAAAATTTGCAATTTTGGCAAACACCGTTCCGGCTTAAGCAAATGCAAGTGAACAATGATGAGCGGACAGTCCTGCAAAGGCGGTCCACCGCACAATGGTGCCAGCAAGGTTGGGGCTCAAGCTGCCAGTCGCGTCAAGAACTATGCCTCTCCAATAGCTGCATCTCAACTTTCAACAGTGCCATGCGAAACGCGCTAAGAAACTCTTGCCACCAGACTGCCGGTCACCCCCAGCTGACCCAAACACGGCTGATCAGTCTTGGGCTGCTATGAACTTAAATCTTGAGTCGCAGAAGGCCAAACCTTGTTTTGCTTCGCAAGCATGAAGTGCATCGAGCAGCTTGAATCATTGCAGGTGGAGCCCTTGAAAGCCCGGAGCCTGCGACAATCCAGCCACAACAACAGAAGCAGCCAGCTCACAGCGAGTACGTCTTGTTGTGTTCGTAGTCCTCTTCTTGGCCGGAGCTGTTGTGAAAATCGTGCATGTGGCAGCCGGCGGCACGCCACAATGGCACCGAAAATCTGCAGAACATGCCATAACACAGCCAACCACGGATGACATATGTACATTCTACATCTAACCTAACAAGATTGGCCGCCGTCTTCGACTGCAAGCACAATGAGATCATGAGCTCCATCGAGAATGCGCAACAATCATACAATGCGTCATCCCTTCCCTCTTCTGCCAGCATGTACCCACTTCTCAGACTAATCGCATGGAATTCCACAGATGTTGCTCAATCGTCCTTGATCTGTGCGCGGCCCATCAGCACTCGGAATCTGGCAAAAGAGCCAACCAACAGCAGCATAGACACCTTGTAGCTGTCCTATTTGCTTGGATGCAACTATTAACCCGGTCGCAGTGCGAGTGTGTTTGCTTGACTGTTTTTTTATGCATTCTAGTATCAAAATGCAACATCAAAACACAACACCAAAACGACCCAACTACCATGTCTACAACATATGCCACAACATCCATAGCAGCAACAATAGCACAAGAAACTCGCACTTCTGCAACTCCTGGCTTTACCAAGCCTTTCCTGCTACAACCACAAAACTTCTTCTTTTGCTTACTACCAATAGTAGAAAAAGAAATAGTCCGCATCCCTTTGTAGGCCTGTTGGATGTTTCAGGGCCTTGGAGCCCAGGCCCCACAGTCGTAGGAGTAAGAATAGAAGTAGAGCCACAACGCAACGATGTCAACAGCTGCAGCAGTGCTTACCAATTGCAATCAACACCACCACAGCAACAAGAACAACAAACATGCGTTACTGGAAACAACAGAGGGCAGTTGTTGCCACAACAGCAGCCGCAGGCCCTGTGGTGCAGATGGCAGCAATAACAGGACGATGGCCATTGTTCAGCACACAGTGTGCTTGTGTGCCTGCATTGCATGAAACTGTGACCTCGACCTGCAAGACTTGTGCTCCATTCTGAAAGATGATGTTTCGTATACGGAAACGCTTTCGGTCTTCAACATGTCACAGTGGTCGCGGCCAAGATCGTTGACCAGGCTACGTGACTGACAGGTGACCATGACCAATCATTCCAGGACAAGAAGAGGAAATCGGGAACAGAATGGCCTCCGAGATCCCATTCCCTCCTTACTGTAACGGCTAGTACAACTTGAATTCTGCCTCCAACTTATACAAGTGGCATATTCCTTAACCTTAATCCAAATCCCCCATGTCCGAGGTGCAGGGACTGTGAGGAGCGTCCCAACCGTTCCAGACAAAAGAAGCAGCCAAGCACGATCCAGGAACCTGTGGAGTACGACAGGTTTACGGCACCACAACTAAAGTGACCATCATGAAGCTTCAGGAAGACGCGGCGCAAGTGATGAAACTGATTACAACAGAAGCTGAAGCTTTCTCTGTGGTGCCAGGTGGCCAGAGCCGCTTCATCATGATGATACTCCACAAGAGAAGTGGCCTGAGTATATCGCTAGAGCCAAGAACTGCATACCTAGAAGCTTGAGGTCAAGCCACCCCCGTACGATGATGGCAATGGCAGTGTCCACGGTGCTGATCAGCCTCCCCCACACATCGTGAAAAAGTTCACTCATGGCATTTGGCCCAGTTGACCCAGGTATCCAGGCACTACTCGAACAAAAGCGAGCAACGCTGGCATCGGTGCAATCACCACATTGCAGAAAGGATCTGCTCACAGATAGTCACCAAGACCATGTGAACTAGAAAAGTGAAACCTCCTGACCAGCATAAACTCTTGAGACGGGTTGCGGTGAACTAGGTTTGAGGTGCAGAAAGACCAAACAATGGAAAGCTACTTGAAAGTCTGTTGGGATGATCATAGGGATTGCCATAGGGTTGCCATTCATGTGCCCACATGGTTTGGAGAGTCCAAGTTGGGTGAGTATTTATCGTGCAGGCAAGCAGCCAGAGTACGGGGAGATGCGGCAGGTAAGAATCATCCAGGGTCCAGGCCAGTGGGCTAAGGAAGTTGGCGGCAAAGCCCGAAAGGTGCATCCCAAATACCATCCTGAGCAGTGTCCAAAACTTCTAGATGTATTTCTACGCAGCGCGTGCACTCGCTAAGCCAAGTAGCAGAACGTAAGCATACTCGCCGGAATAATGCAAGTTCATTGGCACGCAATTTACGATGCTAATTGCATGGAGCCCGACCTGATTGCCAGCATCTCATGCCAATGCTTCTGTCATCAAGTCACAGGCATGAAGAAGCATGTGCAGCAGAGTGTGCTTGCCAGGCAACAATAAAGGCTACCAGAGAGATGGGCATATGCTTTGGCCCATCCTCCACTCATCGTGCACATAGCATGCTACAAAGGTTCCAAAACGGTGAATTGTTTTTGTTTGTCAGCTCTCTGCTGCTTAGTATGCGCTAGGACTATCACTTTCAACGACAACCACAGGGTGCCACTGGGACGTGTGCGGATACATGGTTTTGTTCTCACGCAGACAATATGACATGCTTGCCATACGCATGTCCTCTGCTAAGTGTCGGCGCACGGCAGCGGCTACCTCCAATAATCACGGCTGAACATCTTGAGAATCAATTTCTGAGCCACGCTCCAACCCAAGTAAAGGTTGAATCATCCAAGTAGGTTTCAACGACTCAAAATGGGTCCTCCGATGGATTAGACTGCGGATACTCCAAATCAATCAAGAAATGACATGTTTGTATTTATATGCTCGTCTCTTGCCTGCTTGCCTGCGTCATGCCGAGAGCCGCGGCTAGCAACGCAGCGTGCCTGATCAATGCGGCCGACCAGTCCTGGGAATCCGCGAAAAAGCCGACTCACATTTTTCTAAACTCTATGGAGCCATGAAATATTAATTAGCCATGCTTTGCAAGTGCTTCAAGTGCTCCAGGGGCTAATCCCGTCACCAATTTTGGCTTGGCCGCCTCAGGGCACTGATTTTGTCATGAAACTCACACCCCTGCGCCCTGCCAGCGTTTTCTACATCCACATAGCTGATACCCCCGACAACGCCCGCAGAACCATTTTACAAAATCAAGTCGGAATCGTTAACCCTCTCGTATTTTTGGGGGGCCGGAATTCCAGGCTTTCCACCTACAGCGAGCAAACCCTGAAGAACCTTGAGCCCTACCCTAAACCCTAAAAACCCCTTAAACCTTGAACCCGTCACCCACCTAAACCCTAAAAGCCCCTACACCCTAAAAGCCCCTAAACCTAACAAGACCCAAACCCGAATACACCGTAAACCAAAAACCCCAAACTCTAAAAAACCTAAAAAAACCTACAAACCCCCAGAACCTAAAACCCCCTAAACTGTAAGCATCCCGACCTAACGCCTGAAAAACCCTGAAACCAAAAGCAGAAGAACCCCTAAGCCCTAAAAAGTCCTAAGCCCTGAAAATCCCCAAGGCCCTTACCACCCCTAAACCCTCATTGCCTTCAGCAGCTCACCTTGGTGCAGCGTAGTGAGGCCTCGCAGCGCGGGTGTTTTTCTGGGATGCAGGATGCCCGCGCCAGTCGAAGTCTTACGAGATAGTTTGAGAGCAAATCCACTTCGATGGCCTTGACAAAGCTTTGGAAGCGTATGGCTGTATGGCCTGAAAACATTGAGCAAAAATCTCAGGGAGAATCACTTGGTGTCTCCCCCACCCCCCCAATCTGTGGGGGTCGTCGGAGACCAAGGCCGAGCATGAGCACCATCGATCGGGACATCGATTGGGCGGGTAGGGTGGGAATGTCCAGACCCCGTCGTTGATAGCTGAGGCGATGCCGTTGGCCCATTTGCTAGCAAGGGCGGCGGTGCAGGTTCCACTGCAACGATCATGCCCAGCTGGAGGTACAGCCATTGAGCTACGCCCCTTTCAAACTCTGCAACCGCCATCATGGCCTGGGACCAGACTTCCTTGAACACATGCATGGCCAACGACAAGAAGGCACGCGTAATGAGCCGGATCACAAGAGACAGAAGAAGCGCCACTATCCGAGGGAACAAGACGGCCACCACCACAAGGATGAAGATCCACCATCCACCGCAAGGGTAGCCACGACCAACAACGATGTACTGAAGGTTGCATTGTTCCACCTCCAGCTTGTCCACAAAGCGGTCCCGGCACTGGTTCTTGTGTACCAGGGCTGGAGTTGAGCCATCCAGCACAACATTGAAGTCATGCTCCGGGCAGCATTGCCTGACCGCCATCTAGCAGCCTGAGCGACGCAGGCCGGATCATCCAGCGCCTGTGCAGCTGAACGTCCCTCTTTGTCCAAAAGCTCCATTCCCAAAGCCGCCGTCGCCGCACCCTGCACTGCCTTCATAAGATTGGTCGCCGCCTCCACTTGAACCTCCCCTACATAGGGTCCTAGTTTGGGCTTGCCGTATGTTGAGGACTCGGCCCACAGCCTCAGAAAGTTCGGCATCCTCAGGGAAGCAAAAGCCGTTTATGACCAAGCGCTCTATCTCACCCGGCATCAACATGCCCTCGAACGCCAGCCACGCCACCAGCGTTGTTGACATCCACTCCGTCCGTGCTGGAGCTTGAGACCCCCTCATGACAAAGTCTGAACC